AAAAAACAAACCCAATTAAATCACAAAAATGCACATACAAAAACCAGACAAATTTCTTACTTTTTCTCTTCCTTCATGTTGTCTAAACCTTTGATTTGTTTTCAGAGTCAGTTTTGCTAAACAAGATGTTTTGATGGCTTCAGTCATTAAAAAAATGAAGATTCTAAACCAGAACTTTTCTGCTGCAGATTGGTCATTGCAGTTTTCAGGTTTAGGAGCAATATTAGGCAGTGAATGTCTGTTTGGGAAGAAAACTTCTCTACCTAGGCACTTGGATCCTAAATTTCACTAATTACAATGAATACTTTATCCCCAGGCCACTGAAGAGAGGAACAGGCAAAATTTAGGAAACGATCTCATTGCTAGAGGTATTATCATTTGCCAAAATTGTTAAAATATAGCTATACATAGTTATTAAGCATTATCTGTAACAATGAATAAATAAGCAAATCCAGGGGGAAACAACAACAACAACAAAACAACTCAGCAAAAACCAAAAGCCCACATACTTCCTGCCAAGTGGTATGTCTCCCTTATTAAAGTGCTAGCCAAAACGGTGTGATATATTTGGGATTCTGGAAAACACAGAGTATCTTTTGAAGAGATATTTAATCAAAAGATTGTGCAGCCATACCTTAATTTGTGATAAATATTTTAGCATATATACTAGCTAAAGGTAAACGTTGAGAACTTGTAGAAAATTTATCTAGTCAGAACAGTGTATAAAATCTTCCACACAGAGCAGAGTCTAACCAAAAGAATACAACTCAGGACTAGAGAGAAGGCTAAGACAGCAGGTTGTTTCAAAGATCTTGTAATACCTCCAGTATCATCAGATATCCTAATTCTGAGCATCATATATTAGTTAATACTGTTAGGTTCTAACCAAAGTAATAAAAACTGAAAAACATGATTCATAACACTGAGGCATGTAAGAAACAATGAGTGAAAATTAATCTGTGTTTCTGTCTAAAGGCAGTCTGGGAAGAGATTTTGGTTATTTCAAACTAAGGGTGTCATAGGATAAATGAAATCATTAGAACAGGAGACAAGCAATTCTTCTAAATTGTAAGATAAATCATTTGAACTCTCAGTTTGAACATAAAAGAGGTAAAACGTAGTTTTATAAAGACAAGGAAGAAAATAGCCTGTGCTGTTCATTTCTGCATTCTGTGATGCTTTTCTAAAATACAGAGCTTTTATAAAATGAAATCTGATTATTTCTAACGTTGATTTCCATTTTTTTAAAGGGTTGCTCTTAGAAAATCCCTGGGTTTCCATTGAAGCTAGGGACTGGTTTTCACTGAGATCCTGGAATACCTAAGTAACAATTGTTGCAACAGATATTTCACCATACTACTGCCATTTTACTCTAATTCTTTGCTCACTTGGTTTGCCGTTGACCACCATCACTGTCAGTTGTGAAGATTTGTGCCTCAGAAGAGGAGTTTTTACAGCAAGAAATAAAAGGAATCAAATTATTAAAGATAAGAAGAAAGAAAAAGGACAAAAAGTTACAAACTGATTCAGAAAAGTTAAGGCAGAGATAGTTAAAAAATTAAAGGAAGTGAGAAGCTAATACAAAATAACATTAAGAAGGCCAGTGGATTTAAGATCCATTCTACATTAGTCTCTAATGAATAGTTTAACAAAGGCTCAGGATGGAAAAGAAAGATAACATGCTGGAAAGCTGGAAAGCACTTAGATTATTTCAACCAGGCATTAAAAAAATGAAATTCTACTGCTGATACTTTGAAGATTTGGCCCAAGAAGAAAAGTACTGTTACCTATGAGAGATATTGTATAGCTGAATGAGGTACTGGAAGATAAAATACATGAAACATACTAAATGCTTGGAATTATTTTGGGGAGGTAAATAAGTAAGCTGTCACCATACAATCTGAGCTTGGCTGCTAAAAATTGCTGGAGCTGAAAAATAAATAGACAAACAATATTTTAAGCCACTAGGAGGTGGCAGAGTGAAAAACAACAATACAACATATTCAATTAAAAAATCAGAATAAATAATATATAAATAATAAATAATTAATAAATATATAAATAATAAATAATAGTTGTTCTAGTACATGATTATGTGTGTTCTAACTTCATTAATAATCTTCCACAACGTTGTCAAGATGAAGTAAAGGAAAAAGATATAGATGCAGTATACTGGAAAGATATATTCATGGTTACCATTAAGTTGGAAGAGATGCTATGTTTAAAGTATTACAAGAATATCTCCTCAGGTAGGAACATAGGCAGGATATTCATAAATGACTTGTCTGATTAAATTTTATATTTGTAGAAATATCACACTGAAATCCATTTCAAGTAGTTTGGATGTCATGATCCACATCTGAAGGTGACAGTGATATGGTAAGTAAGTGGCTTGAAATCAGCAAGGTAAAAACCGTGAGCTGTGTTATCAAAGTGCATTGTATCAGGGTGATGCAAGAAAGAAATACAAAATAATCATTCTGTCTTTCAAGGAGTAGCAAAAGCCAGCTGCTTCCTCTGAAACATGGCCAGCAAAGCAGGAGCCAGTTCAGCTACTGCCCTCCCCCAAAATACCCAGCAAATTGACCAGATAAAACAAACAGCTGTCAAGTTTTCTTCCCTGCAAGGTGTGTCCTCACACCTCATAGAGGTCTGGGTTCAGCAGGACCTTGGCTTATAGTATTTTAATTGCTGTTCAGGGCTGAGTTTATGTGGAGCTGGGACAGGGAACTATGAGAAGTGTATGAAACATGACATGAGAAACTTGGATTTGGAAGGGGAGGAGACAGGGTGACTATGGAGGTCCAAGGCATCGCTGGTAGAGTTAAAAAGAAGAAATGCCCCAAGCACCCTTAACGGGTTCAGTTTGGAGATAATAACACTCCTGCAAACTCTATTGCATACAAGTAATCTCAGGTTTTCATGGGGATAAGAGCTACTTTAACCACTCATCAGGTGTTTTAAATCACTTTGGTTTTGGTGAAAGAGAATTACAGAGAGTACTGTGAACACAAATTTTTCAGTTACCAGCGGTAGTGTTTCTTCAGTTTTACCTGATCCTTTAAAAGAAGGTACAAGAGACTAATTCCTTCTGGAATATGACATGAACCTCCTGCACTGTAATGAGATCTTTTAAAGGTTTTGTGTCATATGTGAATTTGTGATTCCATTATTCTGTATGTTAGTAACTTACTGATTTGTGAAAACTTGGCTTTGGTAAGGGTCAGAATTGAGACAAAATCCTGCCTGCACAAAACTTTCAAGCACCACCATAAGAAACATGGGCGTTTGATAAAAGCATGAGAGCTTCTGCTTTTCTTGTGAAGAACTATCAGAGGTCAATGATCACCACATCCAAGCCTAACTGAAAATTGAGGAAAATAGCATGAATTTACTATTCATTTTAAGGTACACACTTGATTTATTTCCTTTTTCATACTTCTGATAACCAACAGAGGAATGGTTATTGAAATGTGGATTAAACTTCTTAATTGGAATCTTGACCATTATATGATATTCATTCTTTGTGTTAATTCTAACTCTAACTAATTCATGTGAGAGCTCAAAGGAAACAACATGCTTCAAATTTTTTTGTACTTAGAAATTTAGGACAGTCTGCAAAGCTTTCAGTTCTATTTTGAACATGGCTGTGTTGAAGTAACCATTCTGTAATCATACTGGTTCAATTTAGGAAGTATCTTAGTTATATAATGTACGTACAATTCATTCTGCCAAAAAATAAAGTACAGTCATGTGGAGCTTCTCTTTGCCTGCTGATAACAGAAAACTGACACTAATGAGGTCCCTTGACAAGCAAATGCAGAACTAAAAGCATCCTAACTTCAAAAGGATTTTGTGTTTCAAATATTGAAGTGATGCAGCAGAGAGAAAGGGCTCACAGTTGTGGAATCCCATGAGTTAAGTCAAACTGCTTGAAGATTAAGAATCATATCTGACCTTGTATCACAGATATATAAATGATGGAAAATCTGTTCAGAGGAGATTATTGTTCCAATTTCTGTACAGTTTCTAAAGGAATTTCCCACAGGAGACAGTGTGGCTAAAGTTTGATAAGGCTTGGCATTGCTGGGGATCACATGAATTATATGCATGTCTTTGCCAGCATTAGGCAGGAGTTTTTCCCACACATTCGTGACTGGTAACCACCAATAGGAAAAAGTACTGGTCATGCTTAACTAAGAACTTCTGGAAAGTTAGTTAAACTGTGATAATATCCTAAAAGTAAAGTCCTAAGGTGTTTTAAAATATAATTAAAATAAAATATTCTAAAAATATATATTAAAAAAAACAACATTTCAGGATTGGGCACAATCATAGAACTATAGAATGGCTTGCATTGGAAAGGACCTCAAGGATCATGAATCTCCAACCTCCCTGTTCAATATTAGACCAGGCTGCCCAGGGCCCTATCCAGCCTGGCTTTAATGTCTAAACTCATTAAAAGATGAAGGCCTTTGACGTTACTGAGAGTTGATGATTGTGCTGTGTATTCTTGAAGGGAGGCTTTTTCTCACATTTTGCAGCTAATTCTCTGATGCAGAGCTTGATTTTAGGTTTGAGGGCCACTGCAGGTTTATTATTTTCAGTCATTTTATGTTACCATTTTTAGAGATGTGTATTTTTCTTTTCAAAAGGAAAATAAGAATCTTAAATCTTTGTGTTTAAAAGAAATTAGTAACATTTTCACTAACCTGAAAATGCCTTTACCAGTGCCTTTTTTTTAGTTTAGGAAATCTCAATAACAAATAATTCAGTTTCCAGGAATGTATGTACTAAACAACATGAACAAAGAAAAAATGTATCTAAATGAATAAAAGAACTTGAGTGTTGTATGGGAACTGCTGAATCACAGCCTGCACCTCTGATTGATCACCTGAGGCAAGCAATGAGTCAGCCATGGGAGCACAGGTGAAGGCAGTTCACCTGTGCTGCTTGAAAGGGTGGAGCCTGGTTCCAGCTCTCCTAGACCCATGTAAGAGCTGACTACCAGTAGGGAAGATCTCTTTCTGGAGATTCTTCTTTTGGAGTTTTACAGCAAGTCCAGGACAAGAGTAAGCACTCTCATTTACTCTCTTTTTGTTATAATGACATGCTTAGCCAAACTCTCTTGTTTATTTCATAGTTATGATATCTGTATATTTATTGGTTATACATGTGTAGTGATAGATTTAACTCCCATATTAATAACGTATTTTCTTGCCCAAAAGTAAAAACACTGGATGGAGAAAACTAAATAGTGCAACAATGAATTCAATGAAGAATTATGCTTTGTTATTTACTGTACCTCTAAGCAGTAATGAAATTTACTTCTCCTAACTTTTTTTCTAACTTGTCCTATTTCTATATAAATTCTAAGTGATTGTTATAGGTACCAAAATATATATGATGTCCTCCTCAAAGTGTAAATGAATGCGTGTGTGTAGACAACTCAGATATAACAGTAAGAATTTTTGCTTTGCATAACCAATGCTGGTAATTAGACATAAAGCCCATGAACCTTAAGAAGACAGAGGCCTGAATACTAATGGGCTTCAGACTACTCTTCTTCCCTAGCCTGCACATCTGAATCTGATGATTACAGGATTGCAGGGGTTGGAAGGGACCTCAAGAAGTCATTGAGTTCAGCAGAGAGCTCCAGCTCAGGGCAGGCAGATTTGGAAGTGGGCCATCAGAACCACACTGCAGCTTCTGCTCCATTTGCTCCTTCAAAACACACTAGGCATGGAGAATCACAGAATTGCAAGGGCAGGAAGGACCTCAAGAGATCGAGTCCAACCCCCCTCCTAAAGCAACTACTCTCATGGCAAGAAGAGAGGGGAAATCAGAACTTCATGCAAGTAAAGAAAACTCTTTCCTTTGATTTAGTATTTATCTCTTACAAGATTCCATGCAAATCCTAGCTAAGATTCTTTTGCTTCCACTGGAGGCAAGAGAGGTTTTGAGATTTTCATGCTGAACTATGAGTATGTAATCTTTATAAGACATTTTATGGCATAACTATATAGCTTCCTCCTTTATCTGAAATACTTCTTTCATTAGTACACTAGTATTTCACAAGCCAGAATACTATTATCCATAATCCTTAATACTAAAACTAAAAACAAACGAAAATCTGGACATACCTGTCCTTGAATAAACTTTTAAAATGTATTTTCATTAATAAAAAGTTTTTTAGTAACAATCTCTTAAGCATTTTTAAGTGGAACACTTAGAATTATAGTGAAATTTATTTTGACCACGTTTATTAACATACCTTTCTTTGTTAAAAGCCTTGTAAGATAATCTTATAACTTTTGCTCTTTGGTTTCAATTAGTTGACAAAGCTGAAAACAGGAACATTATTTTCAGATGGACTCTTTCTTTTGTAGTGTTAAAAATAGTACATGTGCTGCAATAGCTTGATTTTTCTGAACTGTATTGTCTTGAATGGAGATCATAAAGATGTACTTTGACAAATGAACTCATTATTAATGAAAGAATAAGATATATTTAATACATAAGGATACTAGAGTCTGCATAAGGATGCTGTCTGCATAAGGAATGCTCCTGAAGGCATTAAACCTTCATTATATTTTTATTTTCTATTCTGAGTGGAATCAATCCTAAACAGGAGGAAGTAAAAGAAGAGAGACATAGAAAAATAGTCTTGTTACATCTGGGATACTAGAAATTCATTTGCAAAGCAATTGCCTGAACTGAATTGCAGCCACCGCCTCTGCTTCATCTTTCTGGGTTATAAATCCTCTTTGCTAAAAGTTACAGTCTAATAACACTAGTAATAACAATACTACTAATACCAGAGGCTTCAAATGGTGATGTTTTAACTTTGTGTTAAGTATTAAACAAACACAATTGAAATGGAAATATCAAGGGAAAAGCAGTTGCTATTATTTTTCTCATTTCACATCAAGGAGTCACAATGCATTTAAGCAAATTTCCAATGTTCTCTTGAATTTGGGTTCAATTCTGGAGTGAGAGTTGGAGCACACCAGCTACGTCTAAATTAATCTTTGCTTGTCTGCTGCACTTTCCTCCATCTTGTGTTGTTTGATTGTCCATATTAAGCACCTCTGTTAGCACATGTAGAACATGTGCCTAGAATTCTTCATGACATGTGAAAATTAGCATGCAGGGAAGAGAAGAGCAGACTTGTCAAAGACTGAGATCTGGGCCAAATAACATAACTGTATTTGGTCAAGGGTTCATCTGGCACAATATCTCACCTCTCACATTAAAGAGTGGAAGATGATAAAACAGCAGATATGTGTATTTCAAAAATTCAACTAGCACTCCTCATTTTAACACAGTTAACATCCTTCGTGCTTTGAAGCCATTGGTGTATCTTTTTCTTTCACACCATAGATTTCCAACATCTTTTTAAGCCTACAGGAACTTTAAAAACTCGTCAGTTCTTATGGCAAAGAGCTACAAATATATGATGTGTCTAGTTAACAGGAGTTAACGTTGAGTTAGCGCATTTTCTCCCCAGAAAACTATCGTCTTAGGTTAAATGATCATATCTTATTAGCTATTGATGGAGAAAACCTACACAATATTCTAATACTCCTTTATCACTATCTTCATAGCTTGTTTTCCTTTAAAATCAGGAGTAAAAACAGACTTCAAGATATAGGTCCAACAGGGACTTATACAATTTCCTACTCCTCTCTTTTTCCTAGCAGGTCTGTAAATCTTTGATCACTTTAAATATTTAATTTTCTTTTAATCAACAACACCGAGCTGATGTTTTTATGAAATGTTACTATAACCCCAAAAGCTATTCCGTAAGGGTCGTACTTAGTTCAAGGACTAGAGGGAATGGCCTCAAGTTTTCCAGGGAAGATTCAGGCTGGACATTAGGAAATGCAACTTTTCTGAAAGAGTGGTCAGGCACTGGAATGACTGCCCAGGGAGGTGGTGGAGTCACTGACCCTGGAGGAGTTCAAGGAATAAAACAGTTGTGAAGTTGTGTTGAGGGGACATGGTTTAGTGAGAACTATTGGTGACAGGTGGATGGTCTTATAGGTCTCTTCCAACCTTGGTGATTCTGTAATCCACAACTGTATACACAAATCTGGGATTTTTCTTTCCATACTCCTCTGCAAACAATTTGAACTTCGCAGGTTTCACATTTGCTTACTTTTCCAGGTGCCATTGTTCCTCTGGATGGCAGCTCTGTCTCTTGCAGAAGCAACATCAATTGTGTAAGTCGATCCATTCCAGTATGATTTGCAAGCTTGTTGAGTATGCAACATGTTATGTCATACAGACTGTTCACTGATACATTAAATTGAAGATTAAAGAGACTCAGCCCCTCGTCCTTCTCTCCTAATGATTTTCAAAGTTTTAAAAGGTGTTTTATCATTCTTAGGTCATAGAAATTTCAAGGTATTTCCCCTCATGGTTCTCTCCACAGCTTGCAGTGGAAGGCATATTAAAAAGTTTCCTTTAAGCTGTTGTTTTAAAATTAGTACTCAACTGTTATCTTTTGTAATGAAACTGGGCATGATAGAGAAGCACTTTTGTTCATTAAAAGCTTGGATATAGCTTGTCTTTCTGAGAAATTATGTGAGATGCAGTATTTTAAATCCTATACTATGAGTGGACTGGTAACCCATTTTCAATAAGCCTCTCAGAGCTTTAAAATGGGTTGTATCTATTATACCTATTTATCTCTAGGAGGGAATATAGACTGAAGAAAAGTAAAGGTATGTTGAACTAAAAGACTAGATAACTGAATTAAAACAAATGCATGTGAAAAATGAATAATGAAAATGAGTGAAAAATATATTGATGGATGTGATATTTCCTTAAAATGTCCTTTTAATGTAATTCAGCCTTTTAGTGCTCACCCATTTGTTCTATAATATAAAAGAGTCTTCTAACATTGTACTAAATGTACTGATAGCTACTTGATATTCAGCTGACCTTATACCTGCAGCATCAAATTCTGGCACAAATACATTCTCTCTCTTTGCTTACTGCCCTAATACATTTTAATTTTCCATTAGCCAGTGTCTCATTAGGTTTCAACCACTTAAACAACTTTATTTTCTCAAAAAAGAGAATAGAATAGGAGATAATCTAACATTACTGTGTCTTATTCAAGTGCATGACCTGATGAGATCTTACGTAATAGTATTTGAAGAGGAGAAGTGTAAATATTTTGCCTGATACGTCCTAGCGTTATATTTGCCTCTCATATAACTTCTTCATAGTGGCAGTTCACAGTCTGACTAGTCACAGGCATTTCTTCCACCTCTTGTCTTGCAACTGATTTAAATTCAGATTCTTACTGTTAGTTCTCCTGCAAATGGTGGGGAACTTCCATACTTTCACACATTGCTGAATTTTTGTTTTGTTCTGATTCTTCAGTGCTTTGAAAAGATATTCCTGAGGACTCTCAAGTCTTTCTTGTAGACTCTGTTATCCTGGCACATCTGGGCAGAGAATTGCTGAGTCCATTGAGCACCAACAGGCAGGCCTGAATGCTCCCTTCAGTTCTGAAAATCTTCTTCTTGTCTTTTATTCCCTCCCTTTTCTCCTTTAGTTTCTTTGCAAATTATATTTCTTCCTAAACCTCTTCCCTCTGCATCTTGCATCTCCAACCTGAATCTCCTGGCTTCAGGACAAATGCAGACCTCTTCTTTCCTACGATATCAGTAAGGCCAGCAGTGTGGGTCAGTTGCCAACAGAATATATAAAGAAAGCTATCTTCTAGTATGCTCTCCCAACAAAAGTGAAGCTCAATGGCATCCTGAACCTGAACAATGTAAGAATGGATGTGCATGTTTGTTTTTCTTAAAAGTCCAAGTTGTAGTTTCTGCCCAACTAGAGCTCCTTTTGGAAACCACACTGCATTCATTACCTGCAACTTGTTCAGCGGAGTTAAAGCTCACGTGCTCCACTATTGTGTGTTCACTTTTAAGCAGAGACAGTTTGATCAATCAGAAAAACAAAAAACAAAATTCTGTCATAAGTCAGGAATTTTAGCTTTTTGTTTCCAAATGAGGAACTTGCGTAACTTTTCACTGAAGTGTTCATTTTGAAGCTGTATCTTCATATTCTCTTTAGAAATTTGAAAAAAAAAAAAATTGAATACTTCGTAGAGGAAATGCTGATCTTTAACAAAGACGTATTTTTCTCAATAGGAAAAATGTTTATTGCTTTGCAGCAATGTTAAGTAAAGATGGAGCTTATTTTCACATCAAACATTCCTGTCCCATCTCTGAATTCTATTAACTAATTTTTTCTTACTCATTAATATGTTCAAATAACTTCAGCTTTTTAATCCCCTCTAGAATGTTTACAACTGGGGTTTGCTTTAAAACAATTTTTAGAAACTATTAAGTCTGCTGCTAGTCAACAAATCAAGGTTTAAAAAAAATATACTCAAATATTTCAAGTTTTTGTGAGTTGTTCTGTGCCTACAGTTGACAGGAAATTGAATTATAGGAACATGGCAAGTTTAGTAAATGTTCCTTGTCTGCAGCAACCTGGGCAGGTTTACTGTTCTTCATCGTGGAACAACCACAGCAGAACTGCCCACAAAGGAGGACCAGCAGTAGCAAAAGCTGAATGTAGTGCAGGTAGAGATGAGGCTTTCCCCAGTGGAGGTGCAGTCCCTCTACACCCAAGTAGGGTGAGTAGCTGCAGAGCTCTGTGAACAGAAGGTGATTCATCAGGTCCACCCAAGGGTTTCCATATGGGAGAGGGGGATAAAGTACAAATAAAGGGACAAACTATGAAAAGGAGACAGGAGTGAAGGTCTGAGGTCCATCCCAGTGACACAAAGGACATAAAAATCTGAAGCTGTCACAGGCAGAACAGTAAACAGCAGCCCATAGTGCATCTGGCATTTATTTAAGAAACAAAATAGTCTATCTGATGACTACAACATCATTTGCTTCCACTGCAAATCTGCATTTGCAAGCTCCTTGTTCCCTTCTCCACCAGAAAGACTGCTGCTGGTTGAAGGAAGATTGGGCAGAAAGTAATGTTAATTTCTGCTGTTTAGTGGTCTTCCCTCTCTGCCAAATTTAAGCAATCTATGCTTAGATGGTTTGATCTCGCATCTCTTCATTAATCAGAGGATTCGGGACCCACCAATTTAGTTCATCTGTTAATAGGATTTTCAACACACACTTACTTCTTGCAGCTGAGTCTTCTGTCTGAGAGTTAATAAGCCCACAATTTCAGACAGACAACTACAAGTACTTATCTGCTGGCTGTGAGCAACAGCAATTAAAAAGACTTTTTACCTACAACAACAATGTAGCTCAGACTAGGAATGAAGGAGCAAATTTGAGATTAAATGGCATTCATGACTAATCCCAGAAGTCCAAGGTGAGGCTGGTTGAGGCAATTCAGGCCTATGAATGTACTAATTGCCCTGACAAGTGTGGAGATGAAGCTGTTTATCAAAAAGAGCTTCGTTCATGAGTTGCCTGAAAAGCCTTCTGAAACTCTTCAAGCAATCAACTCAAAAATGATGCTGATAGGCTAAAATATTCTGTTCCATTTAATCATTGCTTTTGGTTTGGTTCTCTTCTTATGCAAATTTCTTGGATTTTCAGCATCAATCATGAGGTCTAAAAAGAAGCATCAGTCTGTGTATACTCTAGTGTACCTGAAGCTAGGTGCAGACACCACTAACTTCTTGTATTTTCCATTTGGTATATATTTGAAGTAAGTTATAATAAAGGATTCCAAAGCACAATCAATTATGCTAGCCAAGAGGGCTTTAGGAGGCCTGGCTCACTCAGTAGTAAATACAGCTGATCTCATATATTCTTATCCTGAGTTTGTTTTTTTTAATCTAATCAGTTGCAGTTATCTGTAGTTGCATTGAGCTGGGAATAATGGTAATCTCTGTATGCAAATCTAGTTTAGAAATAATTTTATTTCCAAAATATCTCTTCTTTATATTAAGCTGATATTAGATCTCTTAATCTAGTAGACAAAGACAAGATGCTCACTGGAACTAATGTGCCTGTACCTTGGCCATAAGCTGCTCAGAAGTGATTGTAAATGCAATAATTCCAGTAAGAACTGTAGATACATAGTGAAACGTGGACTGTGTTTTCACAGGAATGTGTCTGTGAGACTGATAATTGTTGCCGTCACTGTCGTAGAGCTGCCCATATGCTAATCTTCCTTTTCAAAGATGAAGTCAGGAGAGAGCCATGATTTGAGCTTTACCAGAGAGCTGACTGAATTATTTCCGTATGATATATGGCTCATGTACAGAACATGGTTCAGGAAGCAATGCCTTGGGGTGACAGATAATTTATGCCCTTGGACTTACCATCAGCTGGGAGAGGAAGTGTGATTGTCACCTGGCTGACCAATAAGCAAATCTTTAATTGGTAACCTAAAAAGTAGGTGCTTTCTAGACTGGAGGTATGTCACTTTGTCAGCATGCCAAGAAGCTTGTGTTTCCCTTGTCCTGCTGCCTAAGGAAGTGCGCACATGGGGTTTTGACTCTACATGAGTCTGCTGTAGCTTTGCTGGCAAGCAAGTTTGTCATTGTACAACTGTTTTACAATACTATTTTCAACATCTTTGGTTTTTGGATAGGGAAAGGATACAGCAGATCTTAGGGAAAGAGATGGAAAAAAATACAAGCTGTGTGGCAAAAGGGCACTTTTTTTTTTTTTTTTTTTTTTTTAAGAAAAAGTGAAAAAACAAAATGTGTCATGTCCTGCTTTTCTGAAGGATTTTGGCTATGTTACTTAGAATATTAAAAGGTGATTTCTCTTTCCCATCATAAAGCTTTCATTGTGAATCAAATTTTTTTCTTCCGTGGAGAAGCACTTTTCCATGTTCAGATGGTAAGGAAATTATAGTTTTGTTGTTCTTCAGTGTTAAAATGAAAGAACAGCATGACTGCCACTGACCTAAGCTGACATGTTTTTGCAATTTAGCTCAGTTGTTTTAAATTTTTTCAATGATACTTTAAGAAATCAGCTGTACATGGCCAACAAAATTCTTTTGCATGGAGACAAAAGAGCTCCATTCTAGGACTACATGTGGAAAAGTAATAGCTGGTAAGAACATATCCTCTAGTTGCCCTATCTTACAAATTTTATCTCCTCAGTTGACACTTGAGTATACACACTGACAGATTTGCTTTTAACGTAAATTAATGGCAGAAACCTCTGACAAGACAAGAAAGAGGTAATGTGTATGTAGGTGTTGGTAAAAGACGTATCTAAGTAGAGAAATAAAACAGAGGTGGAACTATCGTAATGAAATTGGTTAAGCAGTGGAACAGATTGACCATACTGCTGCTGGAATCTGTCCT